GAAAATCACCGGTGTTGTCCAGGAGTCTTAGCCAGAAAAGGAGAGAAAAGTGCAAGTTAGTAGATGTTCCCAATGTTTCTAGAAGACAACCTGTGCCTATTCTCATGGGGAAATGGCAGTCTCTGTTTGAGTCTGCTCATAAGCACATAAATAGCACATAAATCTTTTAACAGTGGCAGGACAGGTTAGCATCCCATTTTAATGGCAGGTTATTGTCGAGACCTGACAAGTTTCAGAGCTTGGCAGCTTCTGCTCTATCTGCCTGCAGTTATCACCAACTGACTTGGTGCTGCGCTGGGTAGGTAAGTCTGCAAACTGTTTGCATTAGGTAGCAGGCAGAATACTGTTGTCTGAATAGCTAAGACTTTTCTGAACTTCAAATACGTGAAATCCAGTAGTGCGCATATGAGGTCAGTTCCTCATTATAGTAGGAATAAATACCGCATAATGTTGAGGCATATATCATGGATTGCTATGGCCTGGCGTGCTGCTCTTGGATTCAACAACTAATGAAGACTGAGGGGAAAAATCCTTGATGGAAGCTGATCCACTTAGGACAGTAAATGTTTAGATAAGCAGAATATGAAAAGCATTATTTTGACAGTGACTTCTGAATTAAGGTATGTTTGAGTTTACAGGAACATCACTCACTTTGTTAGAAACAGCTTAATTAATGTAAAACACCAACAATTAAAGTGTTGACATAATGTCTATTACTCATTTGAATTCCAAGAACAAAAATGTTTTTCTAAAGAAAAATATTTCAAATATCTTAAGTGCAAAAGCCTTGCCAAGTTTTGTGGATGGGTAGAATTGTTATGTTTATCAGTTGCAGAGCAAATGTGGAGTTTTTCATATCCTTAGAATTCTTTTTTTTTTGAGGATGTAGATTTGGTTTAAAGGATTCAGAATTGTTTATCACAGTAGAAGGCCAGTTTTTATAAAGCTGTGAGAAGGTTTTTAAATGCATTTGATAGAATTCAGGATGAAAATCACACCAGCAGTAAGGTGTGTGAGACTAAGCAGCAGTAACAGTAGTCACTGTTTACATACACTTTCTCATGGTGTAAATACTAACTGGTGATGCAGCTCCTGGAGGCATTAAGGATGAATGAAGTCCTGTCCTCACTTCACCTGTAGCACACTGAAAGCCCAGTATCAGATGTTAGTTTAGTTTAGTTTAGTTTCATAAAATAGTTTTTTGTTAGTTCCTTTTCATCTGTTTGAAATAACTCCTCTGAAGGAGGCAAGTATGGAGAGCTTCCAGACATTTGGCTGTAAACGGATTTTTCTTTATCCTGTCAAGATTTGTTTTTCTCCCTTTCACTGTTTCTTTGCTTTCTCAAAATACAGCAGCACACTGAGGCTTTATTACATTTTAGTTCCTCACTACTGGAAGGCAATGCAAAGTGCAAAGAATGCAAATATTTATCACAAATCTTGTTTCACATTCCAGCTGCATTGAACAGAAAACTAGTAATTGAAGCACTGGTTTCAAGAGCCTTCTCAGTTTTTGTTTAAATGCTCTGCATGCTGTCATTCCATGCTGCGTGAATCCGGAAGGATAGTGTCTTGCTAACTTCAAAGCTTTTGCTTGTGTGCATGTAGCACTTGGGATGCATGATAACTGGAAATATTGTCATGTACTAGGCCAACACCTTAGCGAAGGTTTCCTTGATTAAAGCAGCATTTGCTTTCACTAGCGAGGATGGTGAATCTACTAAAAGAAAAACTGCAGCAAACTCAGTTCAGTTTGTGGGATGCTGGTGCCTTGGGAGAAGGCAGGCGCTCTATGTCAGCTTGTAAGGCAGTCACAGTGATGGGATGTCACACTGTCAGCTGTCACACTGGATGGACACTCTGCACTAAAGTTTGTGGGTTGAGAGAGATAAATTGCTAATGCCTCATAATTTCACTGTTGGAATATGGGTTCTCTGTTTCAGTGTGTTTTAAATGTCCTGTAGGAGTGAAAGCCTGTGTTTTTCTAGAGTCCTCATAGTGTTTTAGGGATACTTTTTGATGTACCCTTTTTCTCCTATGTAAATCCCTTTTGTTTTAGAGAACCCTCTGCTCTGTGTGCCTTAATGCTGTTCTGACTTTGTGTGTAGCTTCTTCAGGAGCTACATAGAGCTACTGTGAGAAGTGTATTAGATGGTGCAAGCTCTAAATTGTTGATGCGAGATTATGTTCCTAGCTTTCTGGAGAGAGTGCAGCTGCAGTTAAACTTGCCATCTTGGCAGCTCTTGAGGATATTTTTTGCCAATACTCTGTCTAGTAAGTTGGCCTGGTTTCTTGCATATGCAACATATGCAACAGTTTGGGTGTCAGGTAGCCATGCAGCTATTTTAAGCTACTGTATTTTGGGAGGTAGGAAGGCAGGAAGGTTCATTGAAACAAATAACGCAGTGAGTGCAAGACAGAGGAGGGAGCCATATTTCATGGTATGTCACATAGTAGTATTAGATGTTATGGGATTGCTGTTGCTTTTTCTTTTTGCTGAAATGCTTGAAGAGATTTCTGACATTTTGCTGTTGTATATCACCGTTACATGTATTCTGATTCAATATTAAAAAAAAAATCAAATGTGAATTCATAGGGAAGAAAGGTCATAACTGCATGTGTTTTCTTTCTGCAGGGATGAATTGTAAAAGCTACATCATCTTGACCCAAACATAGTGTTACAGTGGACTGCTCATCTCCAGTTCTAAAAGCTTTTTGAAAACCAACAGCATTGCAGCTTGTTTTGGACTTTGTTATACTGTTGTTATCAGCATGGAAAAGCGTGGTGTTTGTTTTATTTTTATTATTTTTTTTAGATGCTCAAGGCAAATCTGAAAAAAAAAAGGTGGAAAGTTTTGTGGGCACTGTTTCATTTAACATGCCTTTATTTTACTTTAATCTGTTCAAAGAAATGAATTTCTGCAAAACCGCAGATAAAGACCTATAGCTTGTGAACACTAATTTTGATGGGGGTACTTGAACACTCCTCTCAAACTCCCATGTCCCTTGGTAAAACTGCTTCTGTGCACCTTATGACACTACGTAAGTAATATCAGGTTTTATGTGTTCAGATGTCTGCTAGATGCTACTAAAAGGAGATGAACTTCCTTTTTCAAGCTTTTGACATGATGTCATAGACTAGCATGTAGTAGATACAATCAGCTGCTTTATTACCTTTAAACCAGGCATTTGTATATATTAAAGATATCAGAGGTGGCCGCTGTTATTAAACTGTGCTGTTCAAGTTGGACATAACGAACATGGTTTTCCCTTTTCCTTCCAAAACAATTATCAGAGTGTTGAAACTCTGTGTTGTTTTATAACTCACTGCTGATACGATACATGTGGATTTAACTCCATAAATATAATATAAGCTATGTCCCAATCACTGAACAGTTTATGCAGTACTGCTTTGCCAAATAAAGTGAAAAGCAAAAAGAGGTCCTGTGTTTGCTGTGTGGAGGATTAGGATCACCATGAGGTAGACTATAGAGATGCAGATATCTGGGTTCCAGGCAGATGAACTTTTAGATTAATTTTGAATGTAAGGTGCTTTTGACAAAACTATCTGCTGTATTTGCTTTCTCATTAAACCAGGAAAAGTTCTGGTGTCATTTTTTAGAAGGTGAATTCAACTTCTTATATGAGGAAAACTCAATAGGTACTGAATGAGTGCCAGGTCCTGGGCACTCAAATACAGATGGAGATGTAATTGTTCAATTTTCAAAGCCAGAATGGCATAAGCCTTTTTCTGCCTCAAGTTCTGTGCTTTTTTTTTTTTTTTTTTTAAATGACAACTGGCAAACAAAGTAAGATTGAGCTGCTTTGGGAGAGGGAAGTAGCAAGTTCTTCTGGCTCAGTTCTGAGGAACCAGAAATTGAACTACATGTTAAAATATCACTTTTTTCTTTTTTCTTTTTTTAACATAAAAAAAAAGGATTATAGAGTCACATAACCTGCATAAAAGCAGCCCATAGTGATCACTTCAAATGTATCTGGCTGCTTCTGGCAGAACAGCAATAGTTTTCTGATAGGATTAATCACTTAAAGCGTAAAGATTAAAGTCAAAGACCCCTGAATATGAGAGCGGAAAAATTCAAATAATCTTCCTTTTGAAGGTTTCTCTTGTTGTATTCCTGAGTAAAAGATATGTATCACTTTAATTTATTTAGATGCTTTGGGAGATAGTATGCCACCTCCTGATCTGGCTGCAGCCTGGGAGCACGTACACAAAGATGAATCTTATGATTGATATCATAAGGAAATAATATGTTGTGTTTCAGACAGCACAATTCAGAAAAACCCACTTGCGTCTGGCAAACTTTCACTAACTCACAATCAACTGTGAATTTAGTTCTTGGTGTTGAAGTGAAGTATCTGAAATGATGCATGCTAATGTTCAACCTTTGGGTCACTGTTACCATTCAGTTTGAGTTCAGCTTTATCTACATCTTCTCCCTAATTGAATCAGTTAAATGGAAGAAAAGAGCTCAGCAGTATCCAACTGCTTATCTTTGGACACAGTGTGGTAAACTAGCCTGACTCAAAGGGGTGATAAAGCTGAGACTTAGCAGCAGCTTTTTTAGAGAGAGAACTTCAATCTTCAAGGAAGTGCAAGACTTCAGGGACCAAGGCGGTTGGGCTTGGTTGGCCCATTGCGCAGAAGGGGTTGATGATGGTCATAGCACTTAGGAACTGGAAAATGAAGACCCCTCCATGATGGATCAATGGTTCTGAAGTAAAAGCTTCTTGGAGAAGAGGAGAAGGTGAAATGCAGATTTGAAGAGTTTGAATAAAAGCTATATGAACTGTCTGAAGTGCTACTTTGCCAAATAAATTGAGAGGAAGCTGTATTTGTGTATGGGGGTAGTTTTTTGTTGTTGCTTTGGTTGGGTTTGCGTTGCATTCAGATAACGTCACATGTCCCAAAAGAAAGCAAATATGAATAAAAATACTACTTTGCTATATGGTCAGAAGTAGGTCTCCATTTTCAGTCAGTGGATAGTTAACTAGGCAGATGCCACGCATAGTAGAACCACATGGAGCAGAAGTAGGGTCTTATGTCATTTTGCAGCTCAAGCCCCAGCAATGTGTTGAGGGAAGAGCCTGCGAAAGGCTTTGAGTTTGCATACCCCCATATGCAGAGTGTTCCTGCTGTGAATTCTGGATTGAGCTAAGAGCAAGTGCTCTGCCAGTTGCTCTAATTAAAAGTTTCCCTTTCTATGCAGTGGTATCATTAGATTTTAATAGTCACCTCTAAGGCAAAACAACGTGGGAGAACAGATTGGCTGACCCAATGCAAGGCCTCAGTGCAGTTGTTCTCAGGCAATGAGAGCCTCCAGAGGGAGGGGGAAGAGGCAGCAGCATGTGTACGTGCATCGATATCCATGGTAAAGAACTGTTTGTTGTAGCTGTGAGAGAAAGGGGAACATGGAGAAATATTAGGGCCTAACAGAAGGTATGGCGTTACAGAGGCTTGCTTGAGATGAGAGGCAGTTACCACATCCAGGATGGGGACCCCCCGTGCTGCGTGCGGCCCGGGAACCGCATCACAGTGTGCCCTGGTGGCTCCCGCTGTGACCTCAGCCACGGCCACGGGCGCCCGTCCCTCAGTTCGGTGCTGTGCCAGCGTGAGGAGAGCCAGGCTCTCGGATTGTGGGCACGAAAAAGCACCGAGCGTTGGTGGTTTCACCAATTTTCTTGAGCCTGCCCAAGACATCATGGGGCAGGCAAACTGCTGCGGCGGGAGGGCCGCTCGCGGCCCCGCTCCCGACACGCAGCCGCAGGTCGGGGTGCCTGGCGCCCGCCACGGGCCACGTGGCATGAGAGCTGCTGGGCCCCCGCCGCCGCTGAGCCGCTGCGTGGCC